CCAGTTCCCTCAGGACCCATGGATGCATCCAATTGGGTCCCATGGACTTGTGCACCTTCAGGTTCCTTAGGTGCTCCCAAACCTGGTCTTCTCCTACAGTGGGTGGCTTTTTGTTCTCCCTGACCCTTCCTTTGCTTTCTAGGACTCGGGCAGTGTGGCATGAGCCCTTGCTGGTGAAGACTGAGGCAGAAAAGTCATTGAGCACCTCAGCCTTCTCAATGTCCTGGGTGACCACATCTCCTGTTGCCTTCCAGAGAGGACCCACATTTTCCGTAGTTTTCCTTTTCTCCCCAACATACCTGTAGAAGCTTTTTTTGTTGCCCTTGACATCTGTGGCCAAATTTAATTCTGTCAGGGCCTTGGCTTTCCTCACCTGATCCCTGACTTCTTGGGCAATTTCTCTGTATTCCTCCCAGGTTCCCCATCCTTCCTTCCACCCTCTATAGGCTTTTTTTTGATCCTAAGTTTGTTCTCCTTGGTATTAAATTTGTATGTCGTTACAGAGTAAACGCCTGTCACTGTAAATTTGCTTCATGTGTTTTGTGTAGTATTTTTATTTTTTCTAGCAATATATAATTTTCATAATACAATTAGTTTTTGGGCGCTGGACAACAGTTTGTGTGCTGTGTAAGACAGGGAGCAGAACAGAATTTAAAGTTTTATAGCTGTAGTGGTTTGATATTTTAAAAGGAGCCATTTAGTGGAATACTGAATGTGGAACAAATTTTATTAACTGCACAAACTGTAATCTGGAATTACTCTTCGGAAAACACTGTTGTCACAGTCCCCTGCAGGTTAGCAGCAGTGATTTTATTCAGTTTTGTTAGTGATCTGTAACTCTTTTTGCAGAAGGTTTAAATATGTTGGCACACTTGTGTTTTAATATAAAAATAATTTTATAGTTAAACTATTAAAGAAGTATGCTAAACAAAGAGTTGTCATTTTAACTGTGTTTATGAGAACATTTTCTTTTAATTTGCTGCTGTATTTTACTGCTGCAGAGTAAAGGAATTTGGAATTAGTCCTTCGGACATTCCCTTCTCACAGGGTAGTGGCAGTCGCTCTGATCTCTCTCCTTCCTATGAGTATGACGACTTTTCTCCTTCAATCACCAGGTCTACTTCATTCTATACATGGAATCTTTATTTTTAAATTTTCTTTTTGGCTATGTAATTTTACAGACCAACCTTTCATTAGTCCCCTTGCCTTGAGTCACACATACTTTGCTTTTATTTTGTTTGGCAGGTGATGGTTCTGCATGATCTGCAATCATCTTCCCAGTATTTTGTTCACCCTCCTTAAACATCCACACTGTATCCAGGCTTGCTAGTTTCCCTTCATACATTTTTTTTTTTTAAATGGTGATGTCACCTTTGTACATTTGGTGGACCAAATCTGATAAGTCTAGGCTTAGGGTAATTTGACTATTTCTAATTAAAAAAGAAAACCATTTTCATACCTATATATTTTAAAACTTTTAATCACTCTGAACATAAATGAAAAACAGTTCCCATTGTAGTAAGTACTACTTGAAAAAAAATTTTTCCCTTCAAAAAATGAAGAATATATTCTAAAACTTGCTATAAACTTGCTTTTAAATGGGCTTTGTTTTGATAGTTATTATCAGTCTTTTGAACTATTTTCATGCCACCAGAGCCTAATGATGATTTCACCTTTGGAATTATCTTAAAAAGATATATTCATTCTCTGAGATACTTGGTTGCAAATTACTATTTTCTTCAGAATTCTTGGTGGATTTGCTTCTAACAGCTAGTGGGATACTGATTGACAACTTTTAAGGCAAAATTATGTGCACATAAAAAGAAATATGGTCAGCTTTAGGGTGCTGAATTAACTTTTCTTTCAAATAGCACTCATTGTTAAGGAGTTAATACTGACGTTTTGGAGATTTTTGTCCTCTTAACTGTTAATGAATAGTAACATTTCAATCAGAAAATGCATTTTGCTAGAAGGTGGACTGTAATCCACCTGCAAGTAGTTGAAATTCAGTGGTCCATGCTTTTTAGGAGTTGGACTAACATCCTTTTGTCACTGAAAGTACATTAAATTTGTGAAGTTGACATCATCATCCTTATTGAATTAATTATGCATAAGCCTATAGAGCTTTATTTTTGGCTGTGACTCTTTTGCACAGGAAGTTACTAATATACAAATGAAACACTTTCTGCTTGTAGGGTGAAGGAGCTGACAGTTGATTCTAGTGCTACCGGAGATATCCGTCCCATTATACACCACGCTCCCAATCAGATCGACGACTTGGAGACACAGTGGGGTGTGGGGAGCTCTCCTCAGAGAGATGATCTCAAACTGCTTTGTGAACAAAACGTGAGTGGTTTGCAGCATTACATGGGAAGAGATGATCATAAATACAGTGACAGAACAAATCCAGAGCATTGTGTATTTATAGCCTGTTGGCAAGATCATTAAGTAAATGCAGCATGCTTCTTCACCTTTTCACTTTATGGTATTATGTTCATTCCCATACAAAAAAAAAGCCCCAAACCAAATGTTTCCTGAAAGATAAGAGGAGAATATTTTATTTTCCTTTAACTTCCTTGCTGGTTAGGGCTTTTAATGTCTAGACAGGGTCCGCTGTAGGCTCTGATGTTCTTTAGTGTGCATTTTTTCCAGTATGCCTTTTTTTTTTTTTTTTTTTGTAGTTAGAAGTATTCTGGGACTCTTACCTGTTTTATTTAACACTCTTGAGGTTTTGAGCATTATTTTCCCTGCATGCAACACCCATTTCAAGTGAGTTGGGCTTTTTCTGCATTTAGAAATCTGGATACCCATCATTCCTCTTCCCAACATCCTGATTTTCATGGGGTGAAACCCAGTGCAGTGTTTGTGAGAGAGCCACATCATGTTCCCCGCATGTCTCCCTGGGCTGCAGGAGTGGGGGGCTGAGAGGCATCTCCTAAAGGGCATTTTTCTCCCTTTGATGATTGCTCTTGTCTGGTTCCTTAAATGTTAAACAGGAATTAAAAATCAGTTTGTGAAAATGCTGATGAAAGATAAAAAAGAAAAATCCTGGCTATCCTGCCTTATTTTTTGCAAAACTCTCTGCCTTCTCAGACACCTCTTCATGGTGTCTGCTGTATTTCTCATTTCAGTAACTGTCTTTTCTTTAGGAGTCTATTTTATAAGAACACGCTAGTGATTCCTAGAGCTTCCCACTGGACAGTCCTTCCAGCCAGATATCCTTTCATAGCAGACTTTTTCTTTGTTCATGTGGAATTAAATTAAGCTTTACAATAGCTTTTTAAAAAGATTTCAAAAGCATCGCATAAGGAACTTTTCGTGGTTTAACCTCAGCCAGCAAACTAAGCACCACGCAGCTGCTCACTTCCTCCCTCCTAGAGGGATGGGGGAGAGAATCAGAAGAATAAAAGTGATAAAGCTTCTGGGTTGAGATAAAGACAGTTTAATAGATAAAGCAAAAGCCCCATGTGCAAGCAAAGCAAAACAAGGAATTCATTCACTACTTCCCACTGGCAGGCGGGTGTTCAGGCATCCCCAGGAAAGCCGGGCTCCATCATATGTAACAGTTACTGGGGAAGACAAATGCCATCACTCCAAACATCCCCCACTTCCTTCTTCTTCCCTTAAGTTTATATGCTGAGCGTGATGCCATATGGTCTGGAATATCCCTTTGGTCAGTTGGGATCAGCTGTCCCAGCTGTGTCCCCTCCATGCATCTTGTGCCCCCCCAGCCTCTCACTGGTGAGGTGGTGTGAGAAGCAGAAAAGGCCTTGAGTTAGTGAAAGCCCTGCTCAGCAAAAACTTAAACATCAGTCTGTTAATAACATGCTTTGCATATGAAATCCAAAACACAGTATTATACCAGCTACTAGGAAGATAGTTAACTCTATCCCAGCTGAAACCAGGAGAGAACTATACTGTCTTCCTAAGACATTAATTACCTCCTACCTGGTGCTTTCTCTTTTGATTATTCCTTTGGTCAGTTGGGATCAGCTGTCCCAGCTGTGTCCCCTCCATGCATCTTGTGCACCCCCAGCCTCCTCACTGGTGAGGTGGTGTGAGAAGCAGAAAAGGCCTTGAGTTAGTGAAAGCCCTGCTCAGCAAAAACTTAAACATCAGTCTGTTAATAACATGCTTTGCATATGAAATCCAAAACACAGTATTATACCAGCTACTAGGAAGATAGTTAACTCTATCCCAGCTGAAACCAGGAGAGAACTATACTGTCTTCCTAAGACATTAATTACCTCCTACCTGGTGCTTTCTCTTTTGATTATTCATTTCTAAAGAAGCCCTGTTTGCCCCAGTTTGTAAATCCAAGTTGTGCATTCTTCTAATGTATTAATCACTATGTTCATTTTAGATTTCTCACTTGACATTTATTCAACTTTTTTTCCAAAGGATTACTTTAATTTTGATTTCCTGAATGTATTCAGTGTAATTGCTGTTTTGGATTTTTTTTTAATTGTTGTATTGTCTATTGCAATATTCACAAAAAAAGCCCTACAGAAAACCAGAGTTTTCTGTAAGCATTAAAACCTACTAGAAGTTAGCTTTCTTCCTGTGTGACTTCCTCTTCCCACTATTTTAACTTGCTTTTCTAATGTGGAATATTCTGTTTTCCGGTATTCACTGGATTAGTGGCTGGAAATTTTTAATGAACATAATTAAATTTAACTCTGTGAACATTTTGAATTTACTGCCCTCTTCGCTCATTTCTGGAGATTTTCTTATTAAAGTATTAAATTCTGTTTTTGACATGTTCTGCCTTCTGCCTTTTGAGTTCTGTGATGAGATGGATCACATTCAATGTATTTCCTGTAGCCACAGTTCTTTCCAGACTAACAAGCTTAATTATTTTTTTTAGGAAGAGGAAGTTTCTCCTCAGTTGTTTACTTTCCATGAAGCTGTGTCACAAATGGTAGAAATGGAAGAGCAAGTAGTAGAAGACCACCGGGCTGTCTTCCAGGTAAAAGATGGTGCTCTGCTTTGTTTCATCCTAGTTCAGGAATTAAGGTTTTCCCAATGAAAGTACATACTGCTGAAGATGTAGGATATTGTCTGGTCATTCTGCTGCTGTCAGAGATTCCTGAATTGTTTTCTAATGCTAAGCCCAGTGTAGCAAACAAATAGGGACAGATCCCATAAGCATTAATCAACCTTTGTCCCCATGATGAAAGAGAAGCGTATCTCTATATAATTCCAGAAATTTAGTAAAATTTTCCTTTTCTTATCAACAAACATTCCTAAATAGACTGTGTTCATTGTAAGAAAAGTTGCTGCTTACTTTTTCCTATTTGTATTATTCACTGTATTTTCTTTTGTAGTCCTTTTCTAACAGTAGCGACTGTTTGTTTTTTTTTTTTTTTCTAGTTGCAGGAAGTTTATTCAGATTGGTCTTGAAATTTTCAATTCCACTATCTAATCTGTGTCAATATTCCTATACCAGAGCTGGCAGTTAATCGTAATAACTCTATCAGCACCATTTCTGATTGGCCATCTCCCTGTATGATATGCAGTACTGCCTCCAAGTATCTCATCTGAGTATCCTTTCATGACATCTCCCTCTCAGATACTGAGATCCAGAAGAGAGACATATTTTTAACTGCCTGTTTGCTTTCTTTTTACAGATACATAAAGGTTTTCACTTGCTATTAGTCAGGGTCTTTGGGAGGAATACTGCCCACGCAGTGTAATGCTGGTCAGTGCCACAGAGCCTTTTACATTCACAAAATAATTTGTAGTAATAAGTATGAGTTACTAGTTTTCAGAAGGAAATATGAGTTGCTTCTGTTTGTAACTTTAGAGTCTTTGGGCAGGCTGTCTATTTGGCACATTTGCTGCAAGAGAACAGCAGTGCATTAAACCTGTAGGGGAATATACACATCTCCTCAATTTAAATGTCTAACGCAGTGGAATGTTGATGTGTGTTCATAATACAGTAGGATGCTAAATAACACATTTTACAACAGATGTAGAGTTTTAGTTATCAGGAAATATTAGTCCTGAAGAAAAAATGCAGAAGTTTGAAAGTCATAGCTGTGTCCTAATGCTTGCAACTTCTAGAGAGACAAGCTGCATTAGTTTAAGATGTTACTGCCTCTGTGTATCCATCTGGCTTTCTGCTGGAGATTACTGCTCCTCCCAGCAGTCACTGGAAGGAAATGTGTCCGAGCCTCAGCTCCCTTTGTTCACAGCATGGCTTGTTAGTTTATGCTGTGGGTGGAGTTGGGCTGCACCAATATAAAATCTACCAGCTGTACCAGGCAGAAGCTGTCTTCTGTCAGCTTTCTCCTGGAAGCTGCTGATGCAAAACATGATTTCCAAACAAAACCGTCTAAAATCGATGAACAGAATGAATCAAGCTCTATAGGTGTTGGTGTTCCTTTGTGTTTTGGATGTACGAGTAGTACAGTAGGTGAGATGAATCATATCCCAGTGTGAGGTCCATCTGTCCTGAAAGCCAAAGAAACATACATGGGGTTTGGACTGTGCTTTCAATATTACTTGGGCTACTGAGCACAGAGGGAAAGACTTAATTTTAGTATTTCAGGCCTTGCATGCCTAGAACTGTTTAGTTGCTTTCTTTTTTTAAATGAAAGCATTTCCAGTGGGATCAGTTTTGCGGATCACTGCTTTGCATGGTTCTGTAAGCTTTAAGCTCCTGATTGCATTCTTCGCTGCAAGACTTTCTTCCCCCCCTGCCCTCCTCTTCTTTTGTAATATTCAGAGTGCAAAGATGCCTAAGAGCTACTTTAACCAACCTTTACAGTACTGTTACCTCTCTGGGGAGTTAGCTCATGCAATAGGGAGCTTAAAATAGCTATTATTTCATACAGCTTCTCTCAAAACTGGCTTTCATTATGGACAGAATTATCTTGGCTCCTTGACTGTAGTAACAACACTGCAATTATGGTCAGTGGCAACCAGCCTGTACTTAAAATTGAAGCCTGACTTCAGAGTTTGATACCTGCCTGAGGGGACATAATGGTGACATAAAGTTCTGTTCTCTGAGTTTCTTAGATTTACAACCAACTAATGTTCTGGATTTGAAAGAATTCGGGTAGCTGGGGTTTGCCTGTTGCTGGTATGACCACTGGAATTAAGAAACAAGGTAGAAGATGTACAATTTTAATTTTTAAATTTTTTTTTAGGAATAAAGTTTCATTTTAGGATTAAAATTGGTTATATGGAGGTGACTAGATAGTAAAAGTGGTCATCTTAAAAAAATTTCTAATTCAGCTCTTTGTCTTGAAACTTGTCTTGAAACTTTGCTAATGTATTTCTTTGGGGTTTTTTATTTTATCTAGGAATCTATTAGATGGCTGGAAGATGAAAAAGCTCTTCTTGAGATGACTGAAGAAGTAGACTATGATGTGGATTCTTATGCTACTCAACTTGAAGCAATTCTAGAGCAAAAAATTGATATTCTGACCGAACTTCGAGGTAGCTTGCTTTTAATCACTTTTGTTTGCATTATTAGCAGTGTGTTTTCATATGCCATGGAGACTTGCAGTAATAATGAGGAAAAAGAAAATGTGGTTATGTCTTAGGGTCTTCTTTCCTTTTATGCTGCCCTGCAGTGTCTTGTGGAAGGAACATTTATTCTGCTGCCTAAGAACAAGTTCACATCTGTGCTCCGTTCATCCTACTTTAAAGGAAAATCTCTGCTTTCCCTCCATGAAGTATAAACTCAATCCTGCAACTTTCTTTTTCTTTTCCTTTGTTCCAAAACCATAAAAGAAGGAAGAAGAAAACCCAAACAAACTGTACGAAAAAAGAAGTAATACAATGAGGAAAAAGTAGTAGGAACTCCCAGTTCCTGCTCTTTGGCATTCTGTAGTGTAGCAGGGAGCCTGCTGTCATTTTTAAGACTCTGCTTAAAAGGGACATCAAGCTCTGAATAGCTTGGTTGTTAGCTTACTTTTTTCTTCAGCAGCCTTTCTATCTGAATTTTGTCAACCTCTCTTGGAAAACAAACAGTGGATAATTCTTAGTGCCCAAAATTGACTCTTCCACTTGTCTGCTAAAATCAGATTGTCAGCTTGGTACCTCATGGAGGTAAATTTTTAATTTTTCTGTAACTATTTGGACTCCAGGAGACAAGCTATACTGGTAAAAAATCAAGGGTGGGGTTAGGGGCTGAAGAGTGGGGGTAGGGCCTTTTTGATCTGTGTTAAAAAAACTCCTTGTAAGATAAAAATCTTACTTTTTACTGAGTCTGAGTGTCTGCTGTAAGTTAGAAGAATACATCAAGCAAATCAGGTGTGGCCGGCCTGCCTTGTAAGCACACACTGGCATCAGTATACTTTAGCCAAGAATTGGATGCACATTCCTTTGCTTTTTATGGGTGATGTCTTCTTCTTCAGGAGATGACAATTTGAGACATCAGCATTCAAAAAACACAGTTTAGGTGACCGCTAAACTTACTATACTGCTTTTGAAACAAGATACTGGAGGTAAAGGCTAGTTAAGAGATCCTTGCATCTTTACAGGCAGCACGATACACATAGAGCTTTGCAGGAGGGAAGAACTGTTAGTGGGAGAAAGAATTTTTGACCTATCTTCTGTGTTCTGCTTATGGCATATAATGGTCACTGAGTATTTCAGCGTGTATCCCTGTCACTCTGGGACTGGCATCTTTATGCTCTCAATTTGGTTTCCTTCTTTCCATTCTTGGGCTTATTACTGGGAAATGGAGGGGGGCAGGAATAGAAATACAAAAGGATCTACACTTCCTTTCTCAGGTTTCCTCCATTCTTGTTGTGGTTATTATGAAACAAATAAATTATGCATTTATGTTTATATTGTATTTTATTTATTTATATGCATTTATATGGTGAATAATTTCCAAAATGCTTTTCACATTCATAGAAAAACAGGAGAGAGTAGAATTTTCTCTGCCATGTTTTAGAATGTATAGAAGTGACTGTACACTAAATACAATTTTGTGTGCTTCTAAGGATGGTTTGGAAGGTGCTGGGAAGGAAAAGGATGTATGTGGTGTGTATCTCCCAATACTCTGTAAGTTAAAGCAGAATTTAAGTGTGAGTAGGTTACATGCTGGGAACCCAATTGTGCAGTTTCCAAACCTATCCTGCCGAGAGACAGGGGGAGCACCTAAGAAGGGACTAAGTTGCTAAGCAGCTTGTTTGTATGGTGAGTATTAAATGTAAGCTTATCTCAGTCCTCCCGTAGTTTGTAGCCTCAGCTATTGTTGGGGAGGAATGTTCTTTGCTATGCATTACGGTTGGGATGTGGAGCATCAGGGCTTAGTTTCAAGATCTGTGTTGAGCACAGACACATCAGCATTCATTCTCTCTTTTTCATTAAAGATAAAGTGAAATCGTTCCGGGCAGCTCTACAAGAGGAGGAACAGGCCAGTAAACAGATCAACCCAAAAAGACCACGTGCCCTTTGAGATGGGCCTTTGCTGCTAAAGGAATCCACGAACCCGTACTGCTGTAGCACACATTTGTTACAAAACCCAGTGGCCGTAAGAACTCAACTACTTGAAAGTGTAAAAACATTAGAAATGTCTGTGGAAATGTCCTGTTTCTTATTCACCTGAATGACATTTTCAGTTTTGTGTGAAATGCTCCTATGATGTCTACAAAATGCTTCTAGACCAGACAGCACAACCATGCAGGGTTCAGATCTGTGAAGCACTTTGTTTAAAATATTTCATTTATTCAAATTGTGAATTTTATGTTTGGAAATTGCCATGTTTTCAATAATGAAGTAAAACTGTGGCTATGAAAAAGTCACAGCATTTCCTTTTGACTATGTTCAGTTTTGTTAGAGAGACCACCTGTGCAGTTTTAAATTGTGTTTGCGTGCATGCACACCTCACTAGTGGTTGTACATAACTTCTACAGACAGCTGTGCTTACCTCTTCCCATTCTGTGCCTTGATGAAGGCTACTTAACCCTAAACATCCTCTTTTTGAAGCACAGCCTTAAACAACATTCCTTATTTGTCAATATAAATTACTTTCAGTGTGTGTACATTTTTAATATGTTTAGAGACTTTTTTTTTTTTTGGTGGATAGTTTCATTTCACAGAATGTGCCATATCATTTGAACAGGAACTGCACAAGCTGTTAAGAGTGGACAAACAGCTGGACATTCCATCCTCCTTGTAAGAATCTGGATTTATCTGAATACCATAAAGAATGGTTATATAATTCTAACATTTTCTGTGTAATGAAAAAAAAACAAAACCAACCAGGACAGACAAAACAAAAAAGATAACTTAGTTGATGTATAATAAAGGGTAATGTTTAAGTACTGAGGAGAGTTGTATCTTAGGATATGCAGATATACAGTATGTGGTATGGTGTGATAATGCTGTCAGATTAAAGGTACGGTCTGACCTCTGCGTATGGATAGAGTAACTGTCAAAGTTCAAGGATCCAGCTAAATATATACAAGTTGGCCTTTCACATACTGTTAAAATTTGGCTTTTGATGCATGACAAACTTACATGTACATTAACCGTAGTTTGCAGGTAGTTTGAGTAGCTCTGTTGCTTTGGAAAAATGTAGCTAATAACTATTTTTCCCTTTGTACAGTGCCAGCAGCTGAAAAGTGGGATGAAATTGCATAATTGGGGATATTGCACAGTACCTCTACCTGGCGCCAACAGGAAACCCGCTTTTCATAAATGGCGCCATGTATCAGCACTTTTTAGGTGGTGGCACTCAAGTTACTTATTTTTGCAAGTCAGTATCAAGAAAGATTGACCTTTTATGTAGAACTTCTTGTCAAATGAAGAATTGTAGACCTCTCTAGGAGTTCTCCCTGTTTCCACAATTTTGTATCAGCAGAGACTTTCCCTTGGAACTGTTTAAAAATTACTTTTGGAATACAAGCCTGTTTGTTTGTGCCAGGCCAGGAGGGAAATAAAGGGAAGGCAATGAAAAGAGAGTAAAATGAGCCAGGAATTCTTGTAGTGTTTAATGTTTGTATCTCCCATGGGAAGGTAGGCTATGGGAAGCTCTTGTCACATCATGGTTTAAAAAAAAAAAACAAAAAAAAAAAAACAAACCTCCTGTGTGTAAACATGAAAACTGAAACAATGTAGATTTTACATAATGTGTTTAATAAATTAAGCTATTAAATGAATTCCAGATGAGAATTTACTTCTGTGGAAGTTGTGCTTTGGGACGGGTTTCACTTTGTAAGCACATCAGTTACACCTTTGAAAAGGCCTGTGATTTCAGAATGAATATTTACTTCTGGAGGTAACCTGTCTGTACAACTTGTCATATAGAACAAGTTCACCAGAGAACTGTCCTGACTTCAGTTTTGCAGCAGGTCTTAAAGAAACATCACATATATCTTTCTGAGCGTTAAAGAATGCTGTCCCTCACAGCTAAAAGAAAAGAAACCATGAAATAGAAAGCAGCACCTTTTGTCAGCAGGCAGTAGTACAGGTTATCGTATGATGCCACGGGGTTTCTTTGAAGCTGCTCTAGAGAAATGTTACTTTCTAAAAAGCCTCTGAAGATTGAGACATCCTACATGAGAAACAGTGGCTCCTTACTCCTCCTCCGTGGAAGCCTACAGCCACATCCAGAGGACAGGAAGGACAGAGGCACTTGGATTTCAGCAGCTTTTCACTAAGCCTTGTAAAGGATACCTGTCCTGCCAGGTCTCCTGCGGGGGGACTGTGAAGAGAATCTTTGTGACAGAGCCTGCTGTAAAGGTCAGATCAACACTGATACTGAAGCAGTGAGAATCCAGATAAACTGACATGGCTAGTTAAGGCACTTGAATTTGTGTAGCCCCTTGCTGGGACAACCTGATCTAGATTCCACTTGTTCTTTCTGCATTAGTCTGAGCATATTGCTTTGGCTACTTACCTCACTCAAAAATTGTTTCTATATGCAGTGAAGCAGCACTAGAATAATTACATTATAAAATAAATGAGCAATCAATGACTAAAAGAATTGACATTGGACGTGTATAAAATGAAGGTACATCTTAGAGGGGTTTTTGCTAATTGGCTTCTTTTCCACTTACTATGGTCTTACGGAAGGAGATACCCCTGCATGATGCTACAGAGCATTTACTGTTTTCCTGAATCAGAAGTCAGACCAAAGTGGATTTTTCTTTTGATAGCTGCTACCCAGAGTTAATGCAAACTTCTTTGGGAAAACTCTGCCTTGTCCTAAATATA